TTTTTACGTCGGTGGCAGACGAGCCGTTCCACGACACGTGGAGGAAAGGGTGTCGCATAATCGATCGCGAGAAGTGCTTTACGTATTTCCCTGTCGTCTATCGGAGAACAATGAGTCCTGCCACGCGAGCGCGTGGGCAGAAAAGGCGAACGAACGGTCCCCATTATTTCGCGAGGGTGGGAACGACGCACGGCCGTGCGTGCGAACCTAAACTCTCTCTTTCTCCCCCCCTCTCTCTACACATCTTTTATACTTTGTACGAACGCCCCAGCTTCTCCATATGCTTCTTTGCGGCCAAATCTTGGATATTTCCCAGGGAGGCGACATTAAAAGTGCAATAGCCCGATCTGGATGCGGCCTCGGCGTTCGGTTAACGACCGTCACAAATGGTCGCGTTTTGGCTCGTCTTTCCCCTTTCGGGCTAATAACAAGGGGGAAAAAATAGAAAGATAGGCGAAATGGACGTGGCAAAATCGTACGTCGCGCGCCGTTTGCCCGCGGCTCCTTCGTTTCCGCCCTCCGTATCGCCCCAGATCCATCAACGGATGGATCCTCGATGACTCGTTGTTAAACCAGAAAACCGTATTGTGTCCCCTTTGCGAGCTCAGGGAAGGGTGGAGGGAAGGGGGCTGGCCGCTTCGCTGTTCTTTTCTCCCGTCTGGCGATTCCTGGCCGAATGGATCGATCGTCGCGCGGTTAATGTCTCGCTTTCGCTCCTCCTCGTATAATCTACTCCTTCGACGAACGTATATAAACGACATAACGTTACGCGAAAACTCGAGTTGCGCTTTATCTCTTCTAACGATCCCATATATACATATATACCTTCTTTTTCGACTCGATTTCAACTATATCTATACTCGATATTTTGAAACGAGTATCGTCGAAATTGCGCCGTCTCGAATCTATCCATCGATGATAATGCACGACGAAGCATAGCATAGAAACGAAGAAAGCACGAGATACGAGTGGTGAGGTAAATATAAGGTGAGTAGAAGGATCGGCCGATCCGTGGAAGGAGTATCTCGTACCGTACCCGATGGTTACGTGGTAGTAGCGGTGTTTCCTCCCGCGGCAGCTGTTGGAAACCGCGCGCGTAATTTCGAAGGATTAGCCGCGTTACCTTACACCGATTCGACTTGTATACGCCCCGTAACGAACACGGGACGTAGAAATATCACGAGGCAGCGCGTTGCACACCGGGTAGCCGGTAGCGCTGGTAGCATCGAGGCAGGGAGGAC